CAACTGATGGCCTATAAGAAGGTGTCTCGTTACCAAGGTGTCACAAAGAAACATCTCATGATTGGTAAAACCAAAGAGCTCTCTCAAGACCTTTGTGATCTTATTGTTGCAGAACATACTGATGGCATTGGTTACAGAAGGATTTCTAAACTTCTGAATATTCCAGTGAGCACTGTTGGGGCCATAATCCATAGGTGGAAAGAACATCATTTCACTGTAAACCAGCCATGACCAGGTGCTCATCGCAAGATTTCTGACAGAGGAGTGAAAAGAATTATCAGTAGAGTTGTCACCGCAAAAACACCGTACCAACAGTGAAGTTTGGAGGTGGGAACATCATGGTGTGGGGCTATTTTTCAGCATACGGCACTGGCAAACTTCTTTTAATTGAAGAACGGATGAATGGAAAAATGTACCAAGACATTCTTGATAAAAATCTGCTGCTATCTTCCAGGATGACGAAGATGAAACGAGGGTGGACATTTCAGCAAGACAATGATCCCAAACACACAGCGAAGGAAACTCAGTTGGTTTCAGAGAAAGAAAATAAAGCTGTGAGAATGGCCCAGCCAATCACCTGACTTGAATCCAATAGAAAATCTATGGAAGGAACTAAAGATGAGTTCATAGAAGAGGCCCATGGAACCTTCAAGATTTGAAGACAGTTTGTGTGGAAGGATGGGCCAAAATCACACCTCAGCAATGCATGCCACTAGTTTCTTCATACAGGAGGCGTCTTGAAGCTGTCATTACCATAAGTTTTTTGTATGAACTGTCATGATTTGGTTCCACTGCTTCCTGTCTGGCTTTTATTTTGACACCATTTCCTGTTTTGTTTCACCTTAGTTCTGGTCTTTTCTTTACGTTCATCACTCACATTAGTTTCACCTGCTTCGTTATTATGTGCACCTGTTTTTATCTCTATTTAGGCAGCGTCCTCCCATGAGGACGCTGCCAGATTGTTCTAGACCCCAGCTCTGACTTTCCAGCATTTTCTCGGTTTTGGTATTTGTGTTTCTGACTTGGACTGTTTTTTGGATTACCCTGTATTGCCTTGCCCTCTTATTACGGACTGCTCATGTGTATCGGCTTATCGGACTTTCCCCTCGGACTACGCACTTTGGATTCCCCTGGATGTACGTGTTTGCTGGCTCTGACCTAGGACCGATACTGACCGTGAGATCCTGG